CGGCTGTGCTGTACACGGGCTGGGGCTCTGGGCCAGTGCCCAGGGGCAAAACCAAAACAGATCCGCCACCTCTGGGGCCAGAGCAACGCCCCTGAAAAGGGACCGAGCTCAAACAGGTTCGGGTCAGGCTCCCAGTGAGCCCAACGCCCCGAGCCTGGTGCTCTGCTCCTTGGAGCTGACCCCGGGCGAGCAGACCTGGCCCGGGCTGAGCACAGCCAGCACAGAAACCGAATTTCATCCCTTCGGGTGCAGCGGGAAGCAAACTCTCACTCAGACGGACCGGGGCACTCGCATCTCAGGCAAAGCCAGCACAGTGGGCGGCGTGGACCCAGGCAGAGCGTGAGGCCGAGGGCTGCCACAACCTGCGCTCCCTCCCCGGGACCTGCCTCCTCCTGCACTTTGGCTCCGTCGGCCTCGTGCTGGCACCTCCAGCGCTGCCCTGGGCACGACAGCGAACCTGCGTGCCAAATCAGAAACCAGCCCCAAAACAACCTCTTGCCAGCTCCAAGAGCTTCTGCCATGCTGGTGACCTGCTGCTTTTGACTTCTGAAGGGTTGCAAAGAGAAAAACACAACTCCCATAGAAATCCCTGGTTCTCGGGGGTTTAGTTTACCTGTACAGACCCCGGGGAGGTCCAAAGGGGCAGCACCTGCGGGGGTCGCTCCCTGCTGTCACCACCACCCTGCCGAAGCCCAGCTAAGTGCAGTCAGGGAAGGGTCACTCACGTCCAGGCAGGAACGGTGTTTTGGAGCGGGACAGGAGAGCGGTGCTATGGTCTGCGAAACCCCAAATGCTGATGAAATGGAGGAGAGTCAGGCTGCCAGGGGCTGGGACTGCCCAGACAGAAATAGCCTTTGTAGATCATCTGACACAGGCTTTTCTACCAGCCCTTTAGAGAGATGTGGGGAGGACAAAGGACAAAGAAAAAAAAAAAAAAGAAAAGAGAAAAAAAAAAAAAGGGTTTTCCCTTCTGTCAGCTGTGCAGAGGGGTGAACACGCAGCACACAGCCGCAGGTACACAGCTCCGAGTGTACCAGCCATCGGCTTTCCCACTGCACAGCTACCAGCCCGTTCACGGGGGTAACGGTGAACAGGCCCAGACTCTGCATGCTAGGGCAGGCTTCAGGCATCTTCGTCTGCTTACACGTATAATAAATTCTCTCTATACATAATATAACTAATAAAATATATATCAAGTGTATGGCTCTGATTTAAACAGATGTTTGCACTGCATGCTCAACACAGGGAAGTAGAAAACAGGAGGAAAACAGCTTGATTCTCTTACAAAAAGGTAGCAGCAAAAAGGTTTGCGAAAGTCTTAGGCTGGGTAGGAAACAGTCCAAACAGCAAGTATTCCCCTTATTTGATGCTGTACAACTATCTGTTCAAGGCAGTAGTAGAGCACCCTCCACCACTGCAGCTATTGCCCGGTCCCATCGATCTGCCCTCGGCAGGGCGGGACAGTTCTGCACTGACCGAGGGGCAGCGCCCCCAGCCCTCGGCACCCCCCAGCCCTCGGCTCCTGCTCACAGACACCGCAGCCAGGAAAACACAGCAAAACTCCCCAGGCAAGGCTGGCTCGTGCCACGGCGTTACCAGGAGGGCACACGCAGGATCTACACAGGGATTTAAGCACATCCTATCACCCCAGAGCCCCCCATTCCCAGCACAGTGCAAAGGCAACCTCAGCAATTCTGCTGCAGCTCGGTGTGTCCAGAAAAGTAAAGACCTCTGAAACAGGGCAGGCAGCCTGCCGGCGTGGAAAGTCAGATTTTGGGCTACATCCAGACGTATTTCAAAGTGCATTTTACCGCCGTCTGGATCTGCCTTTGCCTGTAAAGGCAGGCTTTTGTTTGGTTCTCTTAATATTCAGGGCTGTAAGGGCATTTTTGACAGCAGCACAAAACCCTGGGCAGTACTGCGCTCCTCCTTGCCTTTCTGTACCGGCTGGGGAGAACAGCCTTAAGTCAGTAGAACCATGAAGTAGTTCAGGGTTTGCTTCCTTCCTCCTGCAACCTCCAGAGTGGGAACTAACCTCACGATGGCATGGGGAACCAACAGCAAGGGGCTTTGCATTTCAAAGCGGACTAGAAACCTCACACTAACAAGCCTCAGGAGGTGCCAGGGCTGTGGGCAGGGTGGCCACAGGGAAGACAGACAAGTCCCGGCTCTCCAGAACCAACATCTCCCCCATTTCTCAAACACCTCTTGGTGCAGAAGCCTCCTGCCCTCCCCTTGGCCAGGCTCTCCTTTGAGGGGACTGAAGTTACTCCTGGTGAAGTGGCCGTACCCCTGCTCTTGGGGGAAGGAGACGTGTAGCAGGACCGTGCCTGACTGGAAGAAGCGAGCAGAGAGCCCGAGTGCTCAGAAATGCTAATAAAGTGCACGAATGCAGACGTCAGCTTCCTTCCTCCGAGGCTGGCACGGCCAGGGACGAGGATGTGCTGTGCTGTGTTTCACCCATGGATCAGAGACCAGGACCAGCCCCTTGAATACCACCGCCTCTCCAAAAAACAATCGATCTACTGGGAAGCTCCTGCAGCCGGGGGATCCACACTGGTGGCCCCAATCCACCTGCGGTGGGTGCCTGGGGTCCCCAAGCCCCTTCGCTGCCTCCCCAGCTGTGCACCCATGTGCTCCAACCCCGGCATCACCCACGTCCCGGGGCAGGACCTACCGAGGCAGCTGGACCTGTGCAACCGAGCAGGTGAGGACAGTAAGTGACAGAGCGTGTAGGGGCACAACGAGATCCAGCCCGGCCGAGGGGGACAGAGCCCGGGGTGTCACCTCCCAGCTGAGAGGTGGCATCCGTGCAGACAGACAGCGCGGTGGCCGCTTGCTGCAGACCCCAGGAGGGACAACACGCCCGG